ATGGCCACCAAAAACATTTTTATAATTTAAAAAAAAAAAGAGATCTTTTATTATTTGAATTAATGTAAATATGTTTTTCCAAACCAGGGATTGCCAGGCCATGGAAAAAGTCACAAAGGATGAGGAAAAACAGAGAAGCACACACATTCATTTTAGGGGTGGGGTCAGCATGGGGATTGGATCATTCAATCTGGTGAAAAAATAAGATTTGTTCCAAAATATTACAAATAGTTTTATTTAATATATTTAGTAACAATGTTATATTATTTTTGGTTTATATTTTGTTACCAGATGCTGTCTCTGCTTCCATCCAGAGTCCTTAGACTGATGGAGTTTCTGGGCTTCTCTGGAGACAGGGTAGGTGAGACCACATACATACCAACAGAACTCAATAAGTGTGGACAGCAAGTGGAAGTGGGTCTGGAGAAGTGGAGTTATGCCATAGAGAAAAGAGGAATGAAAGTTGGTAGAGACAGAATACATGTGTGAAAGAGAGGGAGGCAGGCGGAAAGGTGAAGCTGTAGTGAAGGTAGACAGGTTTAATGGATGTAGTGAAGGAGGACATGCAGAGGGTTGGTGTGACAGAAGAAGCTGGGGATGGGGTGAGACGGAGGCCAGTGATCTGTGTTGACGAGTCCAAATGGGAGCGCCCCAAAGTTGTCCTGTCCTTAATATTTTGTCAGTTAAAAGAACTGAACTGTCTCACAGGAAGTGGGTTTGTCAGAGTTGAGAGAGGGAGCAACTACCAACAACCTGCGCTCCATCCTCAGCACCCTCACTCTGCTGATGTTTCAGCTCTACATCACAGTGATACTTGGTGAGCACACTGTAGGCTGGGGCTGTTGCTTCTCCTAAATTCAAAAATCGTGTCTAATCTTAAATAATACCAAAGTTATCATTCATTTGACTTTAATTAATGTGAAAATGATTCTTTAAGGGACTGCTGATGTAAACCTAAGTGAATGTGAGGCTCTGCTGAAACCCTACTGTGAAAAGTTTCCTAATGTAAGCTGTGGGTGTACCTTACTACTTGTGCAAATATTAATCTTTTAATGCCTTTTAGTGTAAGAACTCTGACATTTTTCCTTTATAGGGGGCTTTAATGCATTTCTTCAGTGCAAGGATTGCTGTGCTCAAAGGAAACTTCACATTTGTAAGTACTCATGATGTCTAATGTATGTATTTATAGAACTTTCTCTCATGTAGTTATTGCTCTGTGTAGGCCCAAGAGAAGTTCTTGGCATGTATTGCATCGCAGGAAGAGTGGCGTCAGATTCACCACCTGTGCTACTGGGAGCTGATGTGGGTCTACTCCTTTGAACAAAACTGGTTTGAGGCCTATCGATACGCCAACCTGCTCAGCAAGGAGAACAAGTGGTCCCAGGTATCTAATGTGACAAAATCTCTTTAACCCTGTAATCGCATTACTGATTCTTTTCTCTATTGAAACCTTTCTGTTGCTTTCTTTTCCCCATTTCTAGGCAGTCTATGTATTTCAGAAAGCTGCCATCTTGAGCATGATGCCAGAGGAAGAAGTGAACAAGTTCAATGAAAATGTGGTGGAATTATTCAGGTGTGCAATATACACTAACGCTCCTTCATGCATCTAGGATGCAGCAGTCTGTCACTGAAGGAGCTCTGCAGCTCAGCAACATTTACATGCATGGGGTGGGAGACTCTGTCCATCAGAAGTTATTTTGGCCAGAGTCCTTCTGTCTCCCACCACCTGCACTAGGTCCAGGGTGCATCCCAGAACAGAACTGGCCTTTCTGATGTATACTAACAGTACTATTTAGTTTGTATCAATAAATAAAGTCACTGTGAAATGTGGTTTGAAGGCAGGTGGAGGGCCTCAGGCTGAGATTTGCTGGGAAGTCTATTCCAACGGAGAAGTTTGCAGCGAAGAAGGCCCAGAGATACTCCTCTTCCACCCCCGTGAAACTTGTCGTTCCTGCTTTGGTGAGGACACGTTCTCTCAGTGAACTGATGTGTTTTTTATTTTTGCATTTGTAAGCAACAATCATCTGTTACCGCAGGAAATGATGTATGTGTGGAATGGCTTCACAATAGTAGGCAAAAGACCCGAGCTGACTGAAGGAATCCTGTCAACTTTAGAGAAAGCAGAAGAGCAGCTCAGAAATGATCCAAGTGAGGAAAATTTTCTAATCAGTGGGTGTTTTTTAATACTGACACAAGGCTTACAGTTTACTGTGTGATGTGCAGACCCATCAGAGTACCACACGGGCGATGAGTGCGTTGTCCAGCTGCTGAAGGGTCTGTGTTTAAGAAGTCTGGGACGGCTGGTCCAGGCTGAGATCTGCTTCAATCATGTCATCTCCAGGTGAGCTTGTCTTGATGTCACTGCAATACACCAGAAGCATTCGAGTGGGAGTCTACTAAAAGTCCTCAGCCGAAACTTTTACTTCAACAATCCCTTCAATAGACTACTTTCCCAAGAGCTGATCTGTTTAATGTCCCACTTAGGGTCTTCTGCAATCAATCAGCACTGGGGATGAATCAGAGGGGAGAGCAGGTTAATAAGGATGACAGAAAATCAATGGTAGATGTGCTGATGCGTCAATGCATAAATAACAGGCATATTATTTACATTTTTTAACTCCTCATTGACCTTTTAACAACATTTAAATGTTTCCGGTCTTCCCTGACTCTTAAAAAGGACGAACACAACTGGCATAACATGTACTGCACAATACATTTTAATTAAATGTTTTAATAATTGATGATAAAGCAGATTTCTCTGCTTCATTACTGATTATTGATGCATAAATATCTTATCTGGACAATTTTACCTCCCTGTGGTGTTAAAAAGAAATCTTGCTGCTGCTGTTGCTTTTTATAATGCTTCTTAACAGACTGAAATGACTTTCGTGTTGTTGTTTTTTTGTTTTTTTTGTTTGGTTTTTTTTGTTGTTTTTTTCAGTGATGGTGGCATCAAGCATGATAGCTATCTGGTGCCCTTTACCATGTATGAGCTTGGCCTATTGCACAAGCAGAAAGGTGAAATCAACAAGGCCATTGCTGTAATGGAAAATGTCATGTAAGTCTTTTCAAACAGTCTTTTAATTTGAATACAAATAAACTTTGAAGTTACCTTAAAAACAATGGACAAATTTTCAAAAAGATGTTTTAAGTTTGACGTGTTATCTAAAGCACTTTGAGTGGCCAGTTAGACTGGAAGTCTGCTATATTAACTCACCAGTCGCTTAAGTAATTACACTTTGAATTTCGGTCAACCAAACAAACCCACACACGCAACACAATGGCTACCTGTTTGTTCTAGCAACATCTATAACCTGCTGCCATGTTACATATTACTAACTCTTTTTTTTTTTTTTTTTTTTTTTTTTTCAGGACAAACTACAAGGACTACAACATGGAGTCAAGGCTGCATTTCCGCATCCATGCAGCACTCAACACCATGGGCTCCTTTGCAGCCAAACTTCCACCATCACGCACGGCAGCTTAAGAGATCCTATTACATGAAACTTGACATTGTTTACTGTTTCATTGTCTGTTGCCTTCAACTCTGAAGGTCCTTGGTCTTCTGCTCTTGGTTGTTTTTTCCAAAGCATGCTGTGGTTTACTTTGCAAATAAATTAAGGGTTACTCCCTGCCTGTACTTCACTTCACCTGGTCGTAATGCTAAATCTGCAAATTAATTTATATTTTTTGTGTCATTATATTTATGAAAATATAACCTATTTAGTCTATAATTAAATGAGAAACAAGCAAGCAAAGGCTCCTAGTCTGCCCTTATGATTGCAGCTTACCTGGTATTTTAAAGCGCATGCCTGTATCACAGATTGCAGCTTAGCCATGCTCTAAGGTCCTTCTGTACATAGCTGAGTGCCAGATGAAACAAAGTACTGGGATTGGCATTTTCAGAATAAATATTATTAATGTTCACAATCCTGTCTGCTGCTTGTGTGAATGTTTCTTCTTGGGCCTCTTAAAAAGAGAATTTAGTCTCAGTAAGATTGAGTTAAGTGAAGATTTCTGTGGAAAAATAGCATTGGTGTTTGTGCATTTGATTACTGAAGGTGAAATGGCCTTTGATCAAATACACGATTCCCACATGCATCATCTATACAAAAGTACAGGTGAGGTTGATGAAGTAAGGCGAGGCTGAGATTGTTTGGACAGATGCTGGCCAAAGGGTGTTGATGATAGAGGTGCCAGGTAGGAGGGAAAGAGTAAGACCACAGAATATTCTTAGATCTAGTGAGGGAACAGCCAGGGGGTGGGCGTGACAGAAGAGGATGTTGGGGAAAATGATTTGCTGTGGTGACCCCTAAAGGGAAAGATACATATAGATACATATATATTAACGTGACCCGAGCACGCTTCTTTTAAAATGTATGTGTTTACATGTGTAATAATTAAAATAAAAATAATAATAAAAAATGAGGACTGAAAGTTTAAAGTCTTCTCACATTTTTTGGCACTAATTTAAATCTCATTAACACAGCTGGTCACAGCTTTCACATTCACCAGATTTAAATCCCTTTAAATTTAGATGGTGACTGTGGGAGCCGTTTGACTAAGGTGAATTCAATGTCATATTCAAAAATGCAGTTTGAGACTATTTGAACTCACATGGCTTGTTATCCTGCTGGAAGCAGCCATCAGAAGACGTGTACACTGTGGTCATAAAGGGATGAACATGATCATCTGTTTGCTGGCAGGCTGTGGCTTTTACATTATACTCAGGTGGTACTAAGCTGCCTAAAGCATAACAAAAAAATATAGCTAATACCTTCACACCACCAGCCGCAGCCTGAAAACTTGATACAGGGCAGCATGGATACTTGTTTTCATGTTGTCAAATTCTGACCCTACCAACTGTGTATAACAACAAAGTTTTAATGTTGTTTTAATTAACCTTAATGTGGTTAATTGTGTATATATAATATTGATATCCAAAAATATTCATGTTATGCTAATAAAAAAATACTCTGTGATATTCTGTGAGGTTTACGCCTCAGTAACCCTCTGACTGACGCTGCTGTCAGTGCCGTCTACCACGTGGTATGAGGTGCTCAGCTGACTGCCGGGGGAGGAAGAGGAAAGAAGATGGAAGGGAACAGAGACGAAGCAGAAAAATGTATAAATATAGCAACAAAAGCTCTCGAAGCCGGTGATAAGGAGAAAGCGTTAAAGTTTCTCAACAAAGCAGAGAAGCTGTATCCGACTATCAAAGCCAAAGGTAAGGCTGTTTGTGGCTGACTTGTACGTTTAGCTAACCAAGCGAAGGAACAACCTGCTCCTCATCCGCTGATATTGTGTAAGTGTTAGCATGTAGCTAACATCTGGTTACATCGGTTCGTCACAGGCCATCTGTTGAATAGTATGTAACAGTGTCAAACGTTTGTCAGATTACTTAACGTTTTTCAAAACTGCGCTATGTTTTATACACAGCAACATTAGAAACACACGTTTAAATTAGCCAAGATGTGGCCTGACAGCTAACCTAGCTTGCGCTTTCCTTTGGGCTTATCAGTAAAAAAATGGAATTTATAGTTCACATTAAGTTAATAACTAACTATTATCCCGTCGTGTTTTTTAAATAACGCCTTCTAACTGATGAAAGGTCTTAGCTAAATGACGAAACGTCAATTCACTAACAAGCCATTCATTCAATTTGACCCAGGCTAGTTATCGCTACTAGTGACGTTTTATCTCAGTAGTAAGCTGGTTTTCGTTTATTTGTTAAGCTGTTATTTCACTTTCACTTCATTTCGGCACACATTTTTAAAGTATCTGGGGATTTGGGGGCAAGAGCGAAGCTGGAAATGTAGGACGATGTGTATATGCTGTCCAGGCCACACAGCCACCCGGTCAATCCTTTAATTGAGTGATTGACCAGGGAAAGGCTTGAAGTGAAGGCTAATCTAGGACACACGACCGTCTGTGGGATGACAGTAAACCAGTAATAAGGATGAGATTGAGACCGCTTTGGATTATAGTTTAGAAAAAGTCTTAATTATATAGCATTGTGAGTGCTTACATAACAACATAGAGGAACTTGCTCACTGATAATTAGTAACTCCTCCGCTTTTAAACTGTAACTCGTTGGTTGAAATGTGTCTAGCTGTGTTCCTACACTGTCAGCATTAGCTGTGTGTGTGTGTGTGTGTGTGTGTGTGTGTGTGTGTGTTAACCACTGCAGTTTTCAAGATGCCCACAAGAAGCTTGGATAACTTGCTGCCTTTTACTTGTTAGCCATGTAGTCTAACATAAAAAAGCCCCCACTCATGGCACAATTCCACAAGGAGACATCCAGCATAAAAAAAAGGCTAAAAATATAAGGGAGCAGCTGAAAGTTTCTTTATCTTTGGATGTTTAAAACAACCTCTGAAAACAGATGACATCAGCTTTTGGGAATTAAAAAAAAAACTAACTTTGTGACTTTATTGACAAAGCAACACATTAGAGAAATAAATATAAGTTACAATAAATTACAACTTTAAAACAGTAATGAAAGTAATTGGTTGGTGCACAAGATGTGCACTAAAATGCGAAGATCATCACAAAGATGTGTAGCTAACACTTAATACACATTATAAAATTGCATAATGAAGAAAAATATGAATTAGAAGTTCTAAACTGTGCAGCTAAAGAATAAAAGCCATACTGTTTAGGAAAATGTGGATTTTGTGTTTGAGGGTGAGTCGACAGAGTCTAGAACTCAAGTCCCTGGCTGTTATCTTGCTCACGCACTGATGTTATTACTGATAAAGATTAAAAATTGCTGGCTGAAGTAATCCTGAGTATGCAAGGAATTTCTATTAAAAAGGTGGACTTATTATTATTATTATTATTATTATTATTATTATTATTATTCGTGGATTATTTGTGCTGGTGAAATGTTTTTGCATTCACAATGTAGGCCTGACGGAGCTGCATGTAGAGGGTTTACAGTCTCATGAGCACTGCAAATGTAGTTTGTAGATAGGTTTAACCTTAATGTGGTAAAGCAATGTGTCAGGTCCCCTGATATTGCTACTGCAGCTTTGCTTGTGGCTGTTTAGCATGAACTAATCTCGTGTGGGTTATGGCTACAACCCTGTCTGTAGTGCATCTATTCACATTAGAGAGGATATTGCTTTTAAAAATGCATATAAATGCAGTATTATTAATATTCAGCCATGACCACTGTAGGCAGATTAAATTTTGGCAGCTGTAAAATTAGATTTGTGAATTTCCAGAGCTGCAAAATATAAGCACATTACTAAAGTATTGGCTCAACAAAAGATTACACTAAAGAATCCACTGTTTTCATCATATTTGGTAGCCGAGAGGGCTGTGGGAATTTGGCGAATATGGGGAATGTTGCACCATTTAGAGGACAGTTGCACTTACATTTTTCTGAGTAATGTTAATGAATAATGCATTAATAAACAATTGAAAACTTTTATGCTGCTGCCGAGTCGGAGATAATTGATGTGCTATATTGCTGTGTTACTTTGTTTGCACGTCTTTGCACTTCACTCACCAGGTCTGGCGTTCATGTCCTGTTGAGGATTATGCATGATTTGCAAAAACATAACATGCATTTAAATACAATTTGATTTACATGAATTAATAGTGGCTCAAGAGTTGGGAGTTCGCCTTGTAATTGGAAGGTTGCCGGTTCGAGCCCCGGCTTGGACAGTCTCGGTCGTTGTGTCCTTGGGCAAGACACTTCACCCATTGCCTACTGGTGGTGGTCAGAGGGCCCGGTGGCGCCTCGCCTCTGTCAGTGCGCCCCAGGGTGGCTGTGGCTACAATGTAGCTTGCCATCACCAGTGTGTGAATGGGTGGATGACAGGTTGTGTAAAGCGCTTTGGGGTCCTTAGGGACTAGTAAAGTGCTATACAAATACAGGCCATTTGCCATTTAATAGCGCTGAGAATCAGCATTAAGGCTTTCATTCATATTTTATCTTTGCATTATTTCAGCTATAGGAAGTCTGTTAAAAGTGTGGAAATGTAATACACCAGACAGCATTACTGTCTTTTAACGTGTCTTTGTTCCCTCTTCTTTCAGCTTTGTTGGATGCTTTAATGAAGAATGGGAGCTCAGCAGGTAATGGCACATATCGCCGGAGAGCAGCGGAAAACTCAGAAACCAATGGTACTCAGTCAGAACGAGAGAACCCAGGATCTGGAGTAGGTGACCCGCCTAAAAGCTTCACGAAAGAGCAGGTTGAAGGCGTGCAAAGGTGAGACTCGCTGTGCTTCGTTTTCCACTAAAATCTGTCCCATTTCAGTCGGCTATTTTTGTGCTCTTCAGCTTTGCTGCAGTTGGCTTTGTGACAGCACCAGTGTTTCTTGGTTAAATGGAGGAGAACAGATAGGACACTCTAGTCTCAGCAGTGTTGTGCACACATGGCTATTGCTATGGGAACTTCTACATCTTGATAGGTTTCCCATTGGAATAGGCAGGTATTTAGCAGTGTGGACTAGATACTGGGTAACTTTACATGTGGTAATTTTAGAACATTAGAACTAAACAAAGAGAAAGGCAAGCATAGCACATTTACCCATATCCTCAAAAGATGTTTATGGCAAGTTGAGTTTATTTCCAGGATAAACATGCTGCTTGTATTACAGTTAAACTTAGCCACTCTTTCCCTTGTGTTTTTCTGTTAAATCCATTGGGAGACTTCTGTGAGTTAAATATTGCATCATAGTTTCTAGGAAAAAGAAACAAGGGTTGTACACTTAGTGTATATTAAAGGTGTCTTATTTGTATAGTTCATCCGTAGTTCCACTCCACTGTTTTGTAAGCTTGGTAATTCAATTCAATAAAACTTTATTGATCCTGAAGGTTGACCCCTGAATTATAACATGGTTTGAGAATTTCATCATATACTTTATTAAAATCCAGTTAATTTATTTACTTTTACTCTTTTCTTTTTGTTCTGGTTCTTACGTAGTGCTTTTCTACTCTAAGCAGTCATCCAAGCGCTTGGATGACTGGATGAAATTCTCACTCATTCATATTCTAATAAATGCATTGGAGGCTTGCCCAGTATTTGGCAAGCAGACTGGAGCAGACCAGGATCGAACCACCAAATTTCTCATAGGTGACCTGCTCTACCATTTAGCCACAGCCACCATCAATATTCTAAAGTAGCAAAATGCAACAGTATATTTCTACATTTTAAATAAAGTAACTTTCCAAATAATTGTGCATAAAATTGAATTTAGGTGTCGGGCACTATTTTTGTGTTATTATGTAAATTAAAACAAAAAAAATGTGAATAAAATCATTTATATGTTCTCATTTTGCCTGTTAGCACATCTGCTAAAACAAGAGCAAGACCGATATAATATTTGCCTGATATTATCAGCTTATAGTAGATATTTGCTATTGTATTGGCATTTAAAAACAGCAAATACATAAAAATAAAAATGAGCAGGCCTCTTGGTCATATTCTGACTGATCACATTGCATAGTTTGTCACCCAGAGGACACTCTGCAACTTCCCTGCTGGCAACACATGTTTGTTTTCACAAACCGAACAGCCAGCTAATGTTTTAGTCTGAGGTGTCAGGCAGACTGTAAATGAATAAGGAACACATAACAAATGTTAGGGAAATCAGTTCATGTTTCTTGCGTTTGAAAGAAAAAAACTGTTTTGTCTGATATATCACAATTTTCACTTTTTAAATGGCTAAATATCAGCGCTGGTATTGGTCAAACATTCTACATCAGTTGGGCCCAATTTTCTCCTTGACTGTCTTTATAAGTTTTAGTTCACTTAACGTTTGTTTGTGTAGTTTATTCACCTGAATTTGAAAAGTTAATTGAATGAAGTCCTGATCCAAATAATTAGAAAGAAAATGTTTTTCTTCCACTTCACAAAATTGTGTTTTGCCACAATTGAACAGTCCTGGTACTACCACCCCACTCCTTCCAGTTTAGGCATTCTGGAAATTTTAATTTCTGCGTAACAATAATTCAGTTGCTCACAATTTTAGATGAATTTTATCATCACACCTGCAGTTAAAAAGTCACACAAAACATTTAGCCACAAACCTACATTTGAATGACTTGGTTTACCTGATGTGTGGCAGCTAGGCTGCTGACATGCATAACAGACTCAGAAAATAAGAGATGAACTCAAAGTTGTGCATTTCTCTGCCTGTGTGTGAAGCACGGTGCTGCAATATGTTAAAGAGCACCACCTCTGCTCCTGCCACAGATGGAGAGAAATGTGTTTTCTGAATATGAAACACAAAAATGCATCTTTTCAAAACTGAGAACAGTTTAGCTTGTCGTCTTTGATTATGGTACCCACAATTACACATGCAAAGTATAAAAGATGGATTCCTCATCTTGCACTGACTGCTTATGAAAAGCTTTGAGTGCTGAGATATTTACAGTGTAAATGATGAATTCTCACCAGGCCCTTATCAATGATGTGTGTAGAATCTACAAAGGATGGAAACTTAACTGCTGTGGCATCAAAAGGTTATTCGTGCTCTCAGGTGTTCAGTTGTGGTTAAATATCACACATCTGATCGATTGGGGCCAGGACCATTAATATTTTAGTGACAAAATGTTCTTGCTTCATCCAGAAGGTGACAGGAAAAGAGTGTGAATCTGAAAGCTTTTTATTCCATTCACACATTCTGTTTCTGTCTTTCAGAATAAAGCGGTGTAAAGACTACTACGAAGTGCTTGGTGTCAACAAAGAAGCCGGTGATGATGAGCTTAAAAAAGCCTACAGGAAACTAGCGCTCAAATTTCATCCAGACAAAAACCATGCACCTGGTGCAACAGAGGCCTTTAAAAGTAACTTTGTTACATTTTGCTTTGAATTGTGACTTTGATTGTGTGATGGGGACTGTTTGTTGTGTAGAGCTGACCTCTGGTTCACAGGAATGACTTGCTTGCTATGAGTTTTGTAGCCTCCCTGCTTTTGCTCACTGGACACAAGTGGCAGAGGATAGCTGAATTTCCTGCAGATTTCCTAAAAACACTGCAAAACCATAGTTCAACTAGTGGGTATAAGCAGGGAGATTAAAATGTTGAGGTGATATTTAAAAATGATGTAAATTCAGTGTCAAAGTGGGTAGCCTAAGCTCTTCAGTGTTGAAGCACTCTAATACAGCGGTCCCCGGGCCTCGGACCGGTACCGGTCGTGAGTCGTTTGGTACCGGGCCGCGAGCGTTGAGGCTCACGTGTGAAATGTATAGTTTTCAGGGTTTTTATCAGTTGTCAGCGTTATTTTGTTAGCGTTTTTATCGTTTACTCGGTTTTCCTTGGTCTTTTCACGTGTGTTATGAATAAATTTTCTTTTTTTCGGTACCGGTACTGGTTTTATTTTGTTGTATTTATCCCCGACACCTTAAAGGCCGATCCGTGAAAATATTGTCGGGCATAAACCGGTCCGTGGCGCAAAAAAGGTTGGGGACCGCTGCTCTAATATACTCTGCATTAATTTTTTTTTCCCTTTACCAAAAATATAAAGCGCCTTGAGGCGACTGCTTCTGTGATTTGGTGCTATATTTTAAAAAAAATAAAAAATAAAAATAAAAAATTTTGAGGAAGAAAAGGAAAAGAAGAGATTTTCTAACTCCATTCTACTAACTCTGCTCTCTTTTCTAGAGATTGGCAATGCATATGCAGTACTCAGCAACGCAGACAAACGACGGCAGTATGACCTGACAGGAGGAGAGGAGCCGAGCAGCCCAAGTCACTCACATGGCGCAGGCTTCGACTTCCACAGGGGCTTCGAGGCTGACATCACTCCTGAGGACCTCTTTAACATGTTCTTTGGAGGCGGCTTCCCATCCTGTAAGTGTGCGCATCAGCACATAAGGACACAAATGCAGAAAGAATTACTTGTTCTAAAAAAAATGTTGTTTTTTTTAAATATATTTTTTAATTGGTATGGATTTCTGTTAAGGGAGACATGAGAAATGTAATTTTGTAAAAAAATTGCATAAAATGTTCAAAATATTAAAAATCCGACTGGTTGTTTGGGTACCTGGTGACAAAGGTCATACCCTTGTGTCTGACCTCAGCTATGATATTTTAATATTCTGCAGCCAATGCACACACTTTCACCAACGGCAGGACAAGTTACAGCCATCAAACGGATTACAGGCAAGAGAGGACAGAAGAACGAGGAGATGTACGTAGACTGCTCACAATTTCTGTCTTAAATTTCTAGAATTCTTTTTTTAACACTTTTCTGTTATCACAATTTTTGTTGACACTTGATGTCTCTATAAGCTCTGTACTAATTTTAACATACTCTGTTTGCCTCTAGGGTGGTTTTTCAATGTTTATTCAGCTGATGCCCATCGTGGTCCTGATTTTGGTGTCATTGCTGAGCCAGATGATGGTGTCTCCTCCACCCTACAGTCTCTATTCTAGACCGTACGTGTACACACTCTGTCATTACTGACACCTTTATACATGATAAGGTGTAATTTCATGCATTACTTGGAAAATTTAGCACAAAGAGTAGTCTTGTAAGACATGTTCTGTGCTCATCTGAGCTTTTTGAAGGCTTTCTTGAAAATTTAGTTCAACTGTGCAATTTGCACAGCTGGCTCCTTATTGGGAGGCGTGGGTTGTTGTTTTTTTTGTTTTGTTTTTTTTCCTTTCTCTCACCCTCTCTTTCGCACTTTTCCGCTTCACTTTTCCGAGCCTTGTGCTTTGCACTGGGAAGGGGGGGGGGGTAGAGACATTCGCAGTAGCGCAGGAACAGAGCAGGAGGGAAAGAGAGCCAGGGACAACAACGTCACATTAGAAAGGTATAGTAATCATCCACAACTATTTTCAGTTGCGGATGATAAAGGATTCAGAAAGTTTATTCATGCAGGCCCATATGACAGAGAATGTGCATCTTTTTGTTTTCATATTTTTTTCATATTGCATTGTGGTCTTCTTAGAGTTTTGAAACAAAATGTGTCACCATATGTGGAAATTGCTGCTGCTTCTGCTGCTGTTAAGAATTTTTTACCTAAGCTTGTGCCTCCCATCTCCTCCAGGTCAACAGGTCAGACCATAAAGAGGCAAACAGAAAACCTGCATGTTGACTACTATGTCACCAGAGATTTCAAGTCAGAGTTTAAGGGCTCAGCACTGCAGCAAATTGAGAAAAATGTAGAGGAGGACTATGTATCAAATGTCAGAAATAATTGTTGGAAGGAGAGACAGACGAGTAAGTAACCACAGTTATAAATTCACACTCAGAATAGTTTGTGCTCTTGAAAAAATGTGACAGTTTCTTCCCCCGTCTCATCCAGAAACAGACCTGCTTTACGCCGCTAAGGTATACCGGGATGAGCGAATGCGCAAGAAGGCAGAACTCATGACCATGGATAACTGCAGGGAGTTGGACAGACTAAATAACCTCTTCAGAGGTGGATGAAATGGATGCTTTTAGGTCTTGTAAATCTATATGAATAGATATGTATGTTCATTTTTTTTTTTTAATTTTTTTTTTTTTTATGAAGAGTCTTCAAACTTTAGGGCACTTGAAGATATAATTTAGCTCTATTGTTGTGCTTTTCCCCCCTCCTACTCTCATCCTCCTCCTAACTTTTCTTCTTCCTCATTCCACATTCCACTTTGGCCCTTGGAATCGCCTTGTTATGTTGTAAATGACCAATCTACACACAATATAGAACGTCTCAGATGTTTTTCTTTAAAAAAAAAAAAAACCCAAACAAAGAAAAAAACCAACTCTTATTTAAGTGTGTTTTCCTTAAAATGGGAAAGAAAAGGACACTTGATTGTAAAAGGCATGTGCGCTTTGAGTAGTGACAACCTGAGAGGCATTCTGCACAAGCAAATTAATGTTAGACCAACAAGCTGCTTCTGGCATCATCTGCTTGTCATAAACATCAAATGGGAAACAATAAGTTCACCTGGAGGTGTTGTCCCCACACACAAATCCGTTTCTTCAAGAATCACATTTAAGAAAAAAAAGAGAGAGCGAATGCTTGTCTTGGCTCCTTACTCACCTCCACCTGTGGATGAAGATCCCTGGATCATGAAGAGTCATCACTGACTTTGCTACTAGAGAACATTTTATATCGTCCAGTCTAATATGTGACTTTGGTTGGAACTAAAGATGAACGGACAGTGAAACTGTTACTCATAACTGGTTGTACATTTTCATTTTTGAATGTTTAAAGTTTATGCAGTTATTTAAGTAACTATAGAAGGAAATGGGTTTTTCTTCAATGCTCGCCTGATCATTTAAATAAAATCAAATTATTAACATATCCTGAAGGAAACTGTCTTTGAATTATGATGAAGAGTAAGTTGGTTTAAATTACACAAAAACCTCCTCTCATATATCAAGTGGTGTGTGCTTTTAATGGATCTACTTTTTTCCTAACATAATTTAATGGTTAATGTTAATTTTGTACATATGTATTTTACAACTGACAGTAAGCTTAACCAGTCAGGCGTTTGACCGGTACCTCAGATTTGCACTGGGCCTAGTTCTGTGAAAGATGTAGACTAGCTACAATCTGGTTGCTCCCAATATTTTCACAGTCTGTAACAGGTAATCAGGTAGGCTGTGGTAGTTGAACTGTGGTGTTTAGTGTTTAGTTGGCACTAAGGGAGTGCAAAGAAAATATAGTAATAATATATGCTTTTGTTTCCGCTAAATTCTTGACCCTACCATCCAAATGCTGCTGCTGCAGAAATTTGGATTGATCAGACTGGGCAATGTTTTTCCCATTTTGATGACCCTGTGAAAATTGTTGGCACAGTTTCCTGTGTTTATGTGACAGGAATGGCACCTGGTGTGGTCTTCTGCTGCTGTAGGCTACTTGCATAAACGTTTGAGGTGTTGTGCAGAACACACTGAGCTCTTGTATACTTTGCACATATAATTATGTAAAAGATTTTTTTAAAGTTAATTATATTAAGCCCTTGAGTGCATTTTATTTTACTTTATTTCAGAAGTATGTGTAATAGCAGAGTTTCTACCAGTAGTTGGTACTACAGTCTGCTGTGACCCATGGATGATGTAAGGCGAAGGTACGTTACGAAACATAGTTTAAAAAATATTATTTTTAACATTTCTATAACATTTAAATTACATAAATTCGAACGTTGATTTTGGACCGAAGTAGAGACGGCGATACAGACTAGTGATGTGTCGGTCGCGAACGAAACGGATCTTAGAGCCGACTCTTTGAAGTGAACGACGCGAGCTGGCTTTTTATTGGGAGCCATGGGGTTTTTTTTTTCTTTTTCTTTTTTCTCTCACCCTCTCTTTCCCAATTTTTTCCGCTTCACTCCGCAAGCGAGCCTTGTGCTTTGCACTGGGAAGAGGGGGGAGGGGCAGTAGCGTAGGAACAGAGCAGGAGGGAAAGAGATCCAGGGACAACAACATCACATTAGAAAGGTATAGTAATCATCCACAACTATTTTCGGTTGCGGATGATAAAGGATTCAGAAAGTTTATTCATGCAGGCCCATATGACAGAGAATGTGCTGCATCTTTTGTTTTCATATTTATATTTAATTGTGTTGTGGTTTGCAGTGTTTTATGTTGTTTCACTTTAAATTTGTTTAAAAGGAAAAAGCTGAAAATTTTAATAGTTACAATTTGAAATTTAAATAGTTTTTTTGTATTATATGATTTATTTACTACATTTTATGTGGAGTAAATAAATAAAAGTATATTTATGATGGCCCCTAGAGAGGCAGCACATAAAAACACAACAGAAGTGCCCCAGGATGCTAGGGGCAGTGTTGAGCTTTTGTTACCTAGTGGCTACACAAGCCACGAATTACCAACGACCGGATTTGGTGTGTGGTAGTAACAGGTAAATGAACTTTTTTCTTTTTCTTTTTTTATTATTTGAATATATATGTGCTTTGGAGTTTGTACGCGCTTTGTCTCTAGGGGCCACCGTATATATTTATATATAAACATATATAAATAAAACCACTTTTTTTACATTAGTAATTCCTTTTCTGCATAATTTTATATTGTTGTTAATTAAAACAACCTGAAGATTCGGATCTTTTTAGTGAGTCCAGCCGAAAGAGCCGGAAATCCCATTACTAATTTTTTTTTTCAAACTTTATTTGAAATTATAAAGCGAACAGCCAGTCATTCCAGTTCAGTTTGTACAGTAGACATACAGGGCAAATAAGAGTAAATCCCATTTCTAATATAGACAGCGCACTTTTTCTTTTAACGTCACCATAATTTGTTTACCAGCGGTCACGTGACACCACCAAACCCGGAAACGACATCATAGCTCATGCCACCTATGTGTTTTCGGAATGAAAACAAGCTAGTGTGACAGTTAAAATGCTATCAAGACAACGTATTTAGGAATTAATCAAAACCAATGTGCAAGAAAACGCTGCTTTTTGGCCCTGACGATAAGTAGACCATGAAGTACCCCAGCTACATCTGTGTCTTTCTGTTGGGTTTCTGCTGTTGCGGATATTTTTCACGAGTGTCTGCTAGCAATCACGAGCCGGAGACTCCAGACTGGAGGATGACTCTAAAAACCATTCGCAACGGGATCCACAAGATTGACACGTACTTGAATGCAGCACTGGACTTGTTTGGTGGGGATGACGGACTGTGTCATTACAGATGTAGTGATGGTAAGCTAGGTCATTACTCCAGCTTTCAAGCTCTTTCTCCAAGTTAAGAATGGGTTTATGACATCTAGAGTGTGTAATTTAGGAATTTCCCTGTTATTAGTCAGGCTTGTAAATTAATTATTTATGCCACACCTTTCTCTTAGATCAGCTTGAAAAGGGTTTGCGTTAATTTAATAGTTGGCGCGACCATCTTCAGTCCTGTGTAGAAGTCTCAAACAACCCTCATCTCTTCATACTTTCTTATGAAAAGAATGAGAAATGAATGCAGAAATGAATGAATTGAAACATGTGCAAACATACATGGAAATGCAGTATACAACGCAAAAACATAATTTGGTATCACCTGCATTATTCTTGAACACAGCCTGAGCTCTCTTAGATAAGTTTTCTTATAATTTCTTTGGGTCGTCTTTGTGAATATTTGTCCAGGCTTCTTGAAAGACATTCAAAGCTCTTTTCTGGATGTTGGCCTTTCCTTCTGTTCGCTGTCAAGATGATCCCACACTGCTTCAATAATTTTGACATCCGAGATCTGAGGAGGTCAATCCATGACTGATTTTTTTACACTTTGTTTTTCTAACCAGGTATGCTTTACTAAATTGGTACTGCATTGCCAATCAGACGCTTTCCAGATATAATGCATGGTGGGTCAAAATGTGATGGCAATTTACTGCATATTTCCATCAGTTTCGAAAAGACCCAACACCACTGGCTGAAAAACATCCTCAAAGAGCTTCCAGTTTGTTGTACTGATGGTTGTAGACACTCCCTGATGTACCTCTTTCCTGACCACCTCTGTATGTATTGACACCCAAAACATTTAAACTTGGATTTTTCACTCTAGAGACCTGTTCCCACTAATTTTCAGTCCAGGTCTTGTGTACCTTGGCGTACCACAGCCTTTTCTTCCTGTTTCCCTTAATTAAGATTGGCTTCTTGACAGGCATTATTCAGCTGAGACAGTTTTAGATGAGGCTTCAGCAAACAATAGATGGTCAGCTGATGCAAGATGTATCTCTCATGTCCTGTGTTAGTTATGTCCTTTAAAAATAGCTAAAACTTTTAAGATACTGTACATCAGCTGTAGAGAGGCTTTTTCATGCGTGCCACTACTTCTTCTGTCCTGCACTTGTTGAGTTTCCCCAATTTTTTTTTTTTTTAAGGATTCCCTGAACGCCATACTGGTTTTTAGCTAATAGCTCTTTGGGATTCAACTTATGGATATAAAAATACAATCATAGGCTTGTCAAGCTGTGTTATCTTTAGCATTTTAACAGATTCAATTATAGTAATGGGAACAGAAGCCTGTTGTATTTTTGCAACAAAGAGACTAAAAATACATTTTCATTTGGTGCTTCTTTGCTAAGTTAAGCTTCTTCTTTTTTTGCTCTTTTTTTGAGTTAAGACCCTTTTTTTGCGTGAATGGTGAAAATGGCGAGGTCCAAGGCTTGGACTCAAGATGAATGAAAAAGCAGAAAGACCTTTGAAAGACTTTCAGAAAGGCCAGAGAACTATTGCTTGAGACCACTTTAAAAATGACAAGAAAGTCTGGGTTATTGAAATTAAAATATAAAGAAATGAGGGGTGTTTCAAGACATTTGCACAGCACTATCTGTGGCACCGCTAGCCTTTTTAAATTATCTGTAAACATGTAACCTCTGACTGCAAGATAACAGATAGTTGAAGAGTAAGAAATCTTATCAACTTTGCTCCTGTCTCAAAGGGTACAAGCCGGTGCCTCGTCCCGGGTACAAAAATCCACCGCCCAACGGATGTGGTTCCCCCCTGTTTGGAATTCAGGTAGTTCAAAGCGTGTTGCCATGTGCATCCAGCATGCTGAAGGGCATCATTTTGTATATCATTTTATTTGTCTTATTTAAATACATTGAGTATATACACACAGAAATAGACACGCAAGTCCATAGTACAAGCTGCAGTTTGTGTAAAATGTAGCTAAACTGCTTAGGTCAGTATTATTGGCAGTGTTAGCTCCAGATACATTTGCTTCAGAAAGTATTCACTTCACTTTTTGCACACGTTACAATTCTGTACATTTATTCTTAAATGGCTA